CTGGGGGTCGCTAGCCGACACTGTCTGGCCAACGGCACCCTGAGGAGACCAACTCTGTGGGATCGCACTGGACGGTGGGAGCTACCGGTGGCAGTAAGTGGTCTCGCAGGTATCCTGGGCCTAAGTCGAGGACTACCCTTTCCAGTGTTATATACTTACCATAATAATATTCAATACACCCTTTTTGATATTGTTTTTTAACCATGAATATATGAGATAAAAATCACCGGCATGACTAGTAATTAAAGGGCTGGAATCCATAAAAGTTTATGCCACAAGAGATTTGCTAGTTTTTAAGTCACAATGAAACTCCAGCAGGCTTCCTGCTGTTGAGAAATGGAAACCCCTGAATAGCAGTTTTGGATGAATCAAATTATACATGAGAATGAAAGGATATTTCAAATAAACAAGCTATTTCACTTAAAGGACAAGGATAGAGAACAGGCAATTCTGGCAGAAAGTATCCCATAAATTGAACACCCTGCCAGAAAAAGAGCACTTTCCACAAGGGGCGTTTGTTTTACTTCAGATAGTAATGACACCTGAAGATAGTTTCTAAATAAGATCTTTTATGATGCTTTGAAGAACAGGTCTCAAACTGTGGAAGGTTTTAAAGATAACCATCAGTAAAACCGAACTAAAAATACGCGAGGAGCCACTGTAATAGTTGTGAAACGCTCCTGCAGTACCTGGACTCTATTAATAGCCTGGCAGATTGTTTTAATTTGAAGTTTCCAAACTACTTCTGGAGTTCCGTGCATTCCCACAGACTAATCTGGAGGCTACAGAGTGTGGATCACTATGAACATGCTGTTTCTCTAAATCAGGGCTGCCAAACTCCCGGCCCATGAGTCACGCATTGGCCACGCCCACGTCCGGTTTAACAAAGGGGAAAAAAAGTCCCAGTACGTCATGTGACGCCGCCATAACGATGTGTGTTTGACAACCCTGCTCTAAACCATCCACAGCAACAGATCCGGCGTGATGAGGTTCTCTGTCAGTGGTCATCAGAATAGAATTGGGGATCCCCTCTAGCTTACATGTTCAAAGTAAAGCCAACCTTTCCTTCTGTGCAACAGTCTTTTCAAACAGTGGTTTACCTACAGCAAGTTAAGATTTGGACTGAGGTCATAAGGCACACACTCCACGCATACATCATTCATTGTATGTAGGGTGAGTTTACATCCCACTGCTTGCTTTGCCGTTCTCCTCTTCTTTTCTAAAACTTTGGGAATATTTTCACCCTTCCCTCACTTCTCCAAGTGTATGGAAGCCAAAGCTTTCTAGAGCTACACTTTCCTATAGCTTTCATCAGTGAGAAAGAGGGAGTGAAATGTAGAAAATGGAATTTCTCTTTAAGATAGCCTCTGCATTTTGAAGCAGTACCTCCCTAGAGCTAGGCTTGTCTTTTGCCCTTCACAATGGGTAAAACTGTTTCCATGGGGGGTCATATGCTCCCAGCAGTGGTGAAAT